ATGTTGCTAAGTGAAATATTTTTTCAGTGAGTTTTGCCCCATTTTACCTCAATCCGCTACTTTTTCTGCAGTTTATTTTTTATTTAATTAATTTATAGTGTCTGTGTTTTTTGGGGGTTGCCACGATGTAAAAAAGATATTGAGACTCTAGAAAGAGTGCAGAGAAGAACAACAAAGATGATTAGGGGACTGGAGGCTAAAACATATAAACAACGGTTGCTGGAACTGAAATATATGTTAGTCAAAATATGGCATAACAACCTCCTAGAACTTATGGTTCTTCCCCTTTTCAACTCAACATACACACATATGCACACACAAAAGAAGGATCGGGGTGACATTATAGCAGTGTTCCTATATTACAAAGGTTGCCACAAAGAAGAGGGGATCAACCTATTTTCCAAACCACCTGAAGGCAGGAGAAGAAGCAACGGATGGAAACTAGAACTAAGAAGAAATTTCCTGGCAGTTAGAACAACTAACCAGTGGAATAAGTTGCCTCCAGAAGTTGTGAATGCTCCAACACTGGAACTAGTCTACTCTACTCTACTCTACTCTACTCTACTCTACTCTACTCTAACCATTCTCTATTCTGCTCTGCTCTGCTCTACTTTATTCTCTATTCTACTCTGCTCTGTTCTACTCTACATCTGACCTGGTTAAACTTGTTGTGTGAAATACGTCCAACTTTCAACATATTAGCTTCATGTGGCACCAGCATTGATCTGATCATTACATCCCAACACACACCTACCCCCCCCCCCAAATGAAAGTCTCTTCTCCTTTGGCCTCCAATAGAGGAAGACAGATTGACTCACTTCTTCAAATAGATACAATTTCAGACATAAACTAAAATCCAGGGGAGTCAGTTTTCTGACTCAGAAGCTTTTCATCACATTGGTCCTTAGAGGGAGGCCAAAAGTGTACCAAAAGCAAAAGGCGCCCTACGCGTCATTTATCACCATTTTATTAAATTCAAAGGCTTCCAATGACATCTGAACAATTAAACATAGGAGAAAGCAATAAAGCAATAGAAAGCAGAGATCAGGAGCCCCACTTTTCATCTTCTTCATTGTTGAGAGTTGGGTGGCATGCAAATTTAACACAGTTATATTGGTATTAGCATTATTTCAATTTAGGAATTAAGCAGTATAGTGCTATATTAATGCAATATCAGGGGTTTTTTAATTCAATGTATAGAATGTGAAGGATGTGCGTTTGTGTTTATTTTCACATCGCGTACACTGAAGATGGTATTTAATTTTGTTGTGCGAGGTGCAATGACCATAAAGTAAACTAAACTAAACTTCATGTGTGTTAAAACTCTGGCCCAGCACCACCCACCCCGGCTGGGAACCATGGGACTCCACATCACCTTTAAGCTTCTTGGGAAAAACAGCTTTTGTTCTTCTGAGTGCCTCTAGATGGCAGCAGTGAGCCGGGATTTGCCTGGCGCCTCTTTGCTGCCATCTCTGGTCGGGATGATTCTTGCAGGCCAGCTAATGCTAGCTCTCCTGGGACTCCTACTACCTGCCAGGGTTGGATCAAAGCGGGCTATGGGGGTGTCACATACGCTGCCCTGAGCTCTTTGGTAATGGGGTGCGGGGATCACGGCGCCCCGGTCGGGTGATTAGATAATGGGATAAATTAGAGGAGGCTCGCTTGGGAGACTGCGTCGGACCGTCCCACCCCCTCGCCCCGTTAGACTCACTCCGGAGATCGCGGAAAGACATAACGGCGTGCTGCAAATCCGTCGGCCGCCTCCGTCGGTCGGGTAAACTTCTCCCAGGCTTCGCGGCGGAGTAGGCCGCGCCGCTTACGTAGCCATGACAACGGGGCGACGGTGAGCGGCGGGGCTCAAGCGGAGCGGAAGGCGGAGCCGCGGCGTCGAACGCCCCGCCGGCCGGGGAAGCGAATGGGAGGCGAGGAAGGAGGCGGGGCTGGCTGGACTTGGACTTGCGCTGCCCGGGCGTTTCATGGGAGCGTTTTAAAAACGCGCAGAAAAGCAAAGTGGCAAAAATAAATAAATAAATAAAACGAAATAGAAAAGACTTTGGAATATGAAGGCAGTCACCCGAAATAGCATTCCTCCTGAGATTAGGGTGGCTTTTCACGCAAAAAACGTGTCACTGGGCTTTGTTGAAGTCCATTTGGTTGACTTGAGAATAGAATTAGAATAGAGAATAGAATACAATAGGATTTACATTAGGATTCAGCATAGGATTCAGAATAGAATAAAATAGAATAGGATTCAGAATAGGATTCAGAATAGAATAGGATTCAGA